GCTGCATTTACATGCACCCAAATAATCCATCTAATAATCAGATTGAGGGCTCAATCAGACTCAAAAGCCTTCGTGCAAACACCTTAATCGATGCAACTAAGATCGAATGAAAATTTCAATTGGATTGAAAGGAGCGGTGCAGACTTAAAATAATCTGATCGACAGGAAAAAATGGAGCATGTAAAAGGTTGAATCAGACTATTTTCACAATCGGATTCAAAAATACCTTGCGCAGTGCTGTGATGCAAGTTCACAAAAGTTTCAAATCTTACAAACATGCATATGTTTATTTCCTTGCCATGCCTCGTGAAATGGTCAGTGGATGAGACTAAATATTTACTTAAAAACTCTGCTGACAAATATGTTCTCGTTCATTTTAAATTTCTTTTTAGAAGGCAAAATCATCTGGGCACTGCACATTAGCTGACGTTTTGTTCAGAAGAGATGCAATGCATGTAAAAGCATATGTGAAATGCAATGTTCAGGGTTCATATAAACAGAACTTTCAGATTGTAGGTCTGTTTATCACATAAAGATATCATATGGGTTCAGATGATACTTTAATGACGCTTTTATGTCCTTTTCAAAGCTTGAAAGCTTCAGTCCTCATTTATTGTAAACCGCATTGAAAAGTGCAACAAGCAGCATTAGGAGTTGGAATTACATGAGTTGATTTTTATGTGAACTACTGGATTTGAAAAGGTGGGTTCTGGATGTAGGTGAGAAACAGACAACCTTCTAACCCCAGACTAATCTCTCAGTGCACAATGGCAGGAGGTGAATGAGAGGGGTGAGTGGCACTCATCCTCTGATGTGAGAGCTGCGCTGGGAGAGATTACCCAGAGCTGGGCTCCAACCGAGCTCTATTCACTATTCCACATGCACAGCTCTGCAGAAACCGGCTCCACGGAGAGCGTTCAACAAAGACAGAGACAGAGAGAAAGACAGACGCACAAACAACTTCCAGGACTGCAGATACAGGCTGAGGTTGAAAGTTTCAGTAGACTAACACGATACTGCAGTGCAGAGAAACAGTGAATTAAGATACGCAGCGGCTTTACGCTCACTGAGGAAATTATGTCACGGTTTCTAATAGAGTGCAGCACTGATACGAAAACAATCGATATCAAAGCTGTGATAAAAGACAATGGATCATTCTACTAAACAGGTTCCATTTGTGTAGCTCTTAAATAAATATAAATTTATATATCACTATGAAATCTTATTTTTTTAAAGAAAACTTTAAAGGAAATTAACTATTAAATAAATAAAAAAGGCATAATGAAATTATCAGCCTATACATGTTTATTTAATATATAGGTTAAAATTTCTAGAAATATCATATTAAAATGTCAACCATGCTACATTTCTGAAGGCATAATTAACATTCGGTCACATTTGACCAGAAAATTTAACATTTTGAATTTTTTTTTTTCTTCATCGGAATGAGATGACACTTGGGTTACTTTTGTCACATTAGCTATGTGAACCAAAAAAAAATGAATATGAAAAAATTATTGACATGATTTGGATATGTTAAAGGGTTGAAAAATAAAAAGTAACACTCGGTACCTTCATGGTCAAACAAGACCGACATAGGAAATTAATGGGGGGAAAAAAATCAGAATGGAATGAAATTTGGTCACTTTTGTCACATTAGTTATGTAAAAAAAAAAACATGTGGATAATACAAATTTTATAAATATTGCATTGTATCATAAAATCTCCCCAAAATTCTAAATAATAATCAACCAAAAATATTATTGAAAAAAATTATATAAGGCAAATTTTCTTGAAAAAAAACAAAAAACATTTCAAGGCTTCGGTCCCTTTTGACCATGAAGGTACCAAGTGTGCTCAGAGGGTTAACTTAAGGTGCCACAATGCAATTAAATACATATTATTTGCGTGACATAAAAACACTTACAAAAAATTAAATCTTACCATATTAACTGGAAAAAGCACCCGTTTCATAGAATGATGCTAAAATGCAAAAAAAAGGATAGATAAACAACACATGCAATTGAATAACTGAGCTGAGCTCCAATGTGAAAAATTGATGAGTGGTTGCATCCAAGATATTTTAAAAAATGTCCAAAAAGCTCCTTTTCATAATGGGAATTGGGGCTGTCAAGCTCCAAAAAAGGACCATAAAAATGATCCATATGATTTGTTTGCTATATTATGAAGACATACAATAACTTTGTGCAAGAAAAAGACAGAAATAGTACTCTGAAATTCAAATATGCTGCATCAAGACACATCATGCCAGGTTTTAATGATGACAAGAAACTTGGAGTTGTATGCCTTGAGCAGGAATTTTTGAACTGAACATAAGCATGAATGAGATTTCAGAGCAATGGATGGGTAAATGACAGAATCATCATTTTTAGGTGCACTATTCCTTTAAAGAGAGGAATGTTTAAATAAAGATTAGGGCCGTCTACCTTTCCAATAACACTATCAGGTGACACCGTGAACTACAGTAGCTCTGACCTCTTCCTCAACCGCTAATAGCTTCTACAGTCAGCCGCATATGTTCCCTCTTCCTCACCGTCAGCTCTGGGCCAGTCCGTCACTTTTATTTACATTCTTGTTCTCTCTCACCATCTCCGTCCATCGTATATGAATCAGCTGTTCAGCTGCCCAGCATCTCCAACACGCTTTACACTCGGCCACACCTGTGCAAGCACTTACACAGAGTTCCCTCTGGACCGCTTTACCGTCGTCCTCCATCGTCCTCCAACACGGCGCCAAGTCCCTTGTTCGCAAAAGATGCTGAAAACCAACTACAAGCCAAGCGTGAGGCTGCGGAACAGCTAACGGTGTCAGAATCGCAATAAGCTACACAACAGAGCCAAATCTGGAAGCATACCTCCACATTTTCCGTGGCCTGTCCACACCATGAGGCTTAAGGGCTGAAAAGCAGGCATGCGATTGCGATATTGAGATAGCGCTGATTAATTTTGCAGGTCAGTCTGATGCCAAGTTCACTGCACGTCAAATATATTAGCTTTCCACATTTCAGAGTAGTTTTAAAATAGTCCAAGTGTTCCAGCAAAATCTAGGAACATTTAGTGTTGCCATATGACCTGGGATTGGCAATGCTAACATTATGTAATTGAAAAAACAAACTTGACAAGCTAAAATAAAAAGTGGCCTGGTGAGTGAACTTAAAGGGAACGAGCCGTTTTAGGGGGGCGTGGCAGAGTCTTAACTTTGATAAAGAATATCTCTTTGGTTTTGAGACTTTAGTCTTTGTAACTTCAGGGATCTTATCTATGCACGATCAGCTTGTAACACTCCAAAGAGAAAGGAAAACTTGAAATCGCATCATATGACCCCTTTAAGTTCTTTTGGACTGATGCATGCAACACCCGCTGAGTGGCATTAAACAGCTTGAAAGATCAAAGACAATTTTTAATATAACTCCGACTAGATTCGTCTGAAAAAAGAAAGTCATATACACCTAGAATGCCTTGGGGGTGAGTAAAACGCAGCCTAATTTTCATTTTTGGGTGAACTAACCCTTTAAATGTACGTGCTGGATTTATAACATAATAAATGTTAAAGAATGTTTTATAACAAAACAAACAAACAAATTAAAGAACTAAAAAAATACATTTAAAAACAAATAAATAAATTACCACAGAAAATTTGTAAAATAAATGAAAAATATGCGTAATGTAATTCAGATGCTTAAAAATGCTTGTGGTTGCCAATCCACTTTAACTGAACTTTTATCACCAATGTAAGTTCTCAAAAAAGAAGAGGAAAGAAAATGAAGATTTGTTGAAGGTGTGCAACTACTGTACGAGTTGTTAAATACAAATTGATGCTCATCTGGATTCGAAGGTGTTGTGAACCAAGATAAACTGATGCGTAACACCTCTTGTAGGACATTCTAAGATATGCATAACTATACAAGAAAGGAGTTTCATACACAAAACAAACTAGAAAAAACAGAGAAAGAAAGAGACAAGAAATGTATTTCCTCACTCCTCTCCAGTTATTGTCATCTAAAAATAAATACTCTTTAAATATGCTTGTTAGCTGAATTAAAGCTTGAATATGAAATTGTATTTATATAAATATAAAATATATATAATATAAATATAAAAATATAAAATTAATATTAGATGAAAACCTTAAACTTAAAAAATTGGTTTGCCTTGACAACTAACTAAAATAAGTATTAAAATTAAATTGAAATATTTAAAGACATATTAAAAATGCTAAATTGGAGTATTTAAAAATATAGAAAAATTAAAATGAAAATATAAAAATAAAAGCTAATTCAAAAAAAGTCCATAAATAAAACAAATTTAGCACTGATCCTCCTATACTGTATCTACCATCTCACAGGAAGGAGGAAGAGATATTTCCTGAAGTGTGGCACTGCGGTCGCTCCAGGGCGGGTCATTGGGGAGCAGTAATGAGAGAAACAGATCACAGCGGCAACCGAGCGGAGAGGTGTGATGCTGGCGGACGACAGACGATTAACACCTTTAACAGGTGTCTACATCAACTCCAAAACAAAAAGCCAACCACTGTGGCCTGCCTCTTGCCCAACAGTGTGATAGAGAGGATACATGCATGTAAAATATTTAAGAAAGTAAATACTTGTACCCGCCGGAATGACTTGTTTTGATGCATACTGTTTTACTATTCAGCAAAGTGCAGTGTATGGAAAAAGTTTTTGAAAGCAGCACAATTTATCTTAAACTTCACTTCAGAACTGTACCAGAAGATTTATGCAGCCAATTTAGGTAGATGCACAAGATAAAGGTGCATTTTGCTGGATGATACTACAGTGGTTGTGGACTCCATACTGCCACCTATCTATGTGGATGCAGAGTAAAGACGTTTTACGTCATTTCTTTCGGTGCATGTTCAATATGATATTGCAGTACATCAGCACCCAGTTAGGTTAGATGACATTGATGAGTGCAAACAGAAGATGAACAGAAATGAAGGTTTATGTTGAATAAGAGATGTACCTTATAGTGCATCTTGGGACACGAATGGACGTAGAAACCCAGATAGTAGTAGGAAAGTTTGGGCGACTGCTGCTGCAACTGCCTGGTGAAGGCAATCTCCCTGCAGAGAGAACCAGAGCAGAAATAATGCTTTGCAGGCATATGGGTCATGCTACAAAACATGTAACCACTTAGTTTGACATTACTAGCTCTTTTACAAGAAAACGCTTCCCCGCCAAAGACGAGTTTTTACGGCTTTTCGTGTTTTCATTGTTATACACTCGGGGGCGCTATTACGCATCTTCTAAACGAGTACAAAACATCCTGAACAAAAACACACGTGAACAGGACGGAGAAACTAGCGATCTCTTATGTAAACAGATGCATATGAAAAATAATGCAATCATCAGCAATAGACAGCATATAAATGAAAACTGCATAATGTTACAGAGTAAAATGTTGATCCAGGAACTGGTGTGTATGTCTGTGCAAGCTTTGGAGGTATTGATGAAGATGTAGTTTTTGATAAAAATGTGATTTTCTCACTTTTTTGCTCAAAATTATGCATTTTTAATGAAACCTACTTATATTCAAGTGTTGATAAAAAAAGAATGCTTTAAGCTAGAATAAAACTGAATTTTTTTTTTTTTATTAAAGTAGAGGCTCTGATCTTGGTGTATTGCATATTCAAATATACATACAGCAAAATATACTGTAGGCCATCAAATTTTAGTGAAAATCATCAAAATCGCTGGCGGTGGCTGGCAACTTTTTTCAAAAATGCTGGCAGGGAAAGAGTTAAAGGGATTTTTTAAAGATATTTAGAGATATGACACTTAACTTGGGGAAAAAGAAGCAATTGACAATAAAACTAATTTATTCAGTTTTTTTGTACACAACTATAATAAAAAAAACATTATATATAACTATTAACGGTTCATAATTATACTATTATGATGTGTAGAATCAGGATATGATGCTTAAAGTAGATAAAACATCACCAGACTTGCTGCATGTGGACCAGATCAACGGTTTCCCTCATAAACAGCCATTTAAATGTGTATCTGGAAGTGCAGAAAAAGAGGAAGGGGAGGAGAAAAACAAAAGGGAGCTGAGACAATAAAAACAGGAGGAAAAACCGAGGAGATTTATACTTCCTCCTGCGAGCAATCAAGGAGCTCCCGCTCTCTCTCTCTCTTCAGTTCTCGCTTTATTCCCTGCACAAACACGTTTCTCTTTTCCATAAATAAATCCTGCTCTTTCTTCTCTCTTCTTCTGCATTTTGTACACCTCACACTCTCTGTCTTCCCAAAAATTGTGGGGGGGGGGTCTTTTTTTTATTGAGGGAAAAGGAGAGGAAGATAGAGAGAAGCCAAAGCAAAATAAAAGTGGAGGAAAATGAAAGAGAAAAATAGCGAAGGGAAAAGAAGCGACGACAAACAGCGAGGTGCTGGAAGGTCATGCGGTCGCTGCCAGGTTCCCGGGTTCCCATCCCCTGGTGACAAAGCCTGGCTCTCCGTGAATGAGAGACGGATAAGAAGAGGCTGTGGAATCCATTCACAAAAAAGATGGAAAAAGAAAGGGCAGCCCCCTCCCTCCTCAGCGCTGGCAGCAGCTTGAAGTCTCCATTATCTCCTCTTCAGCACTCTGACACCCCTACACAAGCCACACACAAGCCAATTAAGCCATAGCGCTTACCACCGACAAGACGTCTGCTTAATATTAATGTCACACACACACACACACACACACACACACACACACACACACCCACACACATCCAGAGCAGGAGATTTCCTGCATCCACATAACACAGTGTCTAACTATTATAGGAAATGTAAACAAAACAGCAGTCAATGAAACAATACAACATTGAATTGAATTGAACAACATACACGTGGGTAAAGTTTTTCAAAACAGTAAATATCATTTATTAAAATAAACATAAATGCGTCTTCTTTAAAGGACATTAAAAAGTTATTTTTACTGAGTAACAAGAAAAATATACTAATTAAAATAGGGTGAATTTGACTAAACCTGTCAAGAACATACAAATAAATTCAAACAAATTTAAATAGCATGGTAAAATGTTTAGACAATGTTACAAAAAAAATAAAAAATCTAAATAACATCTATTTCATTTATGCTAAATATACTTTGTTTTATTAACCCATTTTTAGGGGTTAAATATGACAAGAGTAATTTTTAATCAGATTCACCCAAAGACTTCTACAGAACGAACAGTGTAAATTAATTTTCAGCACGTTTAGGACTCGGAGGAAACTCATTTTGTTTATCTTTGCTGGCCATTCATCATTATTTTAACCGTCCGGCGCAGCATGGAGACACATTGCTAAACAGTGTCACATCCTGCGCTCAGACAGTCTCACTCAATCACACTGACACACAACAGCACAAAGACACTGACCCCGCGGCTGACACCAGCTGCTCTGAGCACAACAGAGCCCCGTGCCACTTCTCACTCGCACCTTCTTTTTATTCTTCTGTCTGTGAGAAATGAGACTCCCGAGGCCTCCAGACACCAAACTAGAAGTATAACACACACACACACACACACACATCTGGCATCTCCTGTAAAGTGTAACCTAATCAGGTGAGCAGCCCATGTGAAATATTCACACACATATGTGAAAGACAAAGAAATATAGGCCTGTAACTGTGGGTGTGTATGGATGCGTTTTGAAAATAACATGCACTGAACTGAGACAAGATTGTGCACTACTTAGGAGAGGAGAACCAGGAGGGATTCCCGTGCTGTTTGTCTGCAGCATTAATGCTGTTAATCTTTTGTTGGGAGGTAGTGTAGCCTAGTGGTTAAAGGTTTAGACTGGTAACCAAAAGGCTTAGGCTCAAACTAGTTTCAGTTTTGGATGTCCAAACAGACTCGCACTTAATTTCAAGTCGGATTATTTGTCAACTAAATGATCAGTTAAATGTTTTCACCTGAAAAGCTCAAAGATTAGTCAGAGTTTGTGATTGGCTGACCAACCTGAGAGCAGAGTAGGTGCCCAGTGAGAGCGAGGAGAATTCGGGGTGATAGTAGAGGTACACAGACGACACACAGGAGGGCAGGATGTCCAGAACTCCTACAGCTACTATTCTGCCATCCAACCAATACTGCTGATGGAACGAGCCGTAGCCCACATCAGGACCATCAGGAGCGGTCTCAGCCTGGAGAAGATGCGCGAAAGACAAAGACAAAATTTATTATAAATATGTAATTATTACACAATGTGTTTTTTTGTAGGCTTTTGCCTCTTTTCATTGGATGAGTGTGAAATTTTTTTTACTGGGGCCTGAAAACGAGAAGCAGGAAATTCTGCTGGTCAGATTCAAGCAAACATTACTCACATGATATTTATAAGTGGAAAAAAAATATTTATTCATTAGAAAATGTGAAAAATTATTATAATTTAAAATAATGGTTTACTATTTGAATATATTTTAAAATGTAATTTATTCCTGTGATGCAAAGCTGAATTTTCAGCATCATTACTCCAGTCTTCAGTGTCACATGATCCTTCAGAAATCATTCCAATATGCTGATTTGATGATCAAGAAACATTTCTGATTATTATCGATATTGAAAACAGTTGTGCTGCTTGTTTTTCTGGGAACAGTGATACATTTGTTTTCATGATTCTTTTTTAAACAAAGTTCAAAAGAGCAGCACTTATTATAATTAGGAGACTTTTGTTACATTATAAAATGTCTATACTGTCCATTTTGATTAATTTAATGCTTGCAGAATAAAATTACTCGCATCCTTCAACTGTTGTTCAATTAACAACCAATTAACAAATTTAATATTGAATATATCATTTGGACAACTCATACTTTGAAGCTGGGAACGGAATCGCTGCTCCAAAAACAAACACTGGTGAAATGTTTATCAAAATGGTTTGACTTCACTGTAATATATAAAGTAAAGGGCAAATAAAGGGCATATTCAACTGGAAAAACACATGAAGGGTGGGACTTGATTTTATGCATCAGGATTTGATTGGATGGTGAAAACAGTTGGAGGGGAGGGGCTGAAAAACTTCACAGCACTTTTTATTGACAAACTTTTTTGTGCATGTACTGATGAACTGTGCAAAATTATACCAGGAACAGTCAGTTTTGATCTCATTTAAACTTTAAGTTGAATTTCCAAATTTCTAACTTTTTGAATTTACAATATTATAAAGCAAATCAATTCAAATGACTGAAAAGGTTTGAAATATGTTCCTGTGTGTGATCCTGTGTAAAAACGAGTCAATCAATGCTCAAACAATTAGAAAGTCTGTGCTTGCAAAGGAACACAGGGTGTACAGTAGCTTGCTAATAGTTCCCACATGTGGGCTGAGAGCAGGGGTGTGGGTGTGTGTGTGTGTGGAGTGAAAGTCCATGCCAGGCACACATAATCTATGAGAGGCGATTTAATAAAAATCCTTGCATGAACAAAATCAATCTCCACACTGAAAGCCTGTGCAGGAGGGACCGAGGGGTCGTTTTTACCCTTTGTGTGAACGTGTGTGTAAATCAGTGAGTCAAACCACAAAAAAACAACAACTACAACTACTGTTGTGTCTGAAGATAAAAGCCCACATTCCTTCATGTGACATGAATGCACTCGTGTATGAATATATGTCTCCTGTTTTGAACGGCCGTAAAACCCCAAACCGTTACCTGCCCAAGATCATATTTCCCACTCAAACCTTCACGCTGGCTTTTTTCAATCAAGTGGTTAATCGAGAAGGGCGCTTTATTCACCCTAGTCTACCATTGAGACTTCAAACGTCTCGGCGGTAGGGGGCCTACGCAGCCGTAGCCGTAACGGGATCTCTCCGCGGCCCCCTTGGCCCATCTGGGTCCAGTTAGCCCTGCAGGAAGGCGGCTCGTTATCACAACACCAGGGGAGCGACTCGGCCAATCCATTCCGTATGAGAGGCTTTAGACGCTGCCGTGCCACGGTCACTCACCTCCAAATTAAAACCAACACAGAAACATCACAAACGCCACTCACAATGTTCAAACCTACACAGTAAAAAAATTTTGTAATGTTAATGGTAAAAGACAGTAAAAACCTGTTAATTAGTTAACGTTAAGGACCCTTACTATATATGGTAAAAAATAATTTCATCCACCTTATTTTTGAGGCAGGAGGTGCCATTACGCATTTTGTGAAAGAGCATTAAAGGGTTAGTTCACCCAAAAATGAAAATTCTGTCATAAATTACTCACCCTCATGTCGTTCCAAAACCGTAAGACCTCCGTTCATCTTCGGAACACAAATTAAGATATTTTTGATGATTTCTGAGCGTTCTCTGACCCTCCCATAGACAGCAATGCAATTACCACGATCAAGGTCCAGAAACGTAGCAAGGAGATCGGTAAAATAATCCATGTGACATCAGGGGTTCAACCGTAATTTTACGAAGCTACGAGAATACTTTTTGTTCGCAAAGAAAACAAAAATAACGACTTTATTCAACAATTTGTCTCCTCCGCGTCACCCTGGTGCCATTTTGGAGAATATCCACTGAACGTAAACAGCGTATGCTATTCTGTGTCAGGTGCGTCATGCGGATACGTTTTCTACATTGTTTGTACGGAGGTCTTACGGGTTTAGAACGACATGAGGGTGAGCAATTAATGACAGAATTTAAATTTTTGGGTGAACTATCCCTTTAAAGGAGTGGTTGATCAGCTTTTTTGTGTGTATGGGGTGCAGTGTAATGTGTTCATGCTTTGTTTTTAAAAAATGCATTATTTTCACATATTTTACCTACACTGCTGTTTCTGTTCTCGTCAAAACGGTCTGTTGTAGGGATGGGAAGATTCCCTGATTCCATCGGTAAAAAACGATTTATTTATATATAATTACTAGTGGATGCACTATACTTTTATTATTTAAAAAGTGACCAATAATCTGTGATCTATGTATTTGTTTGTCAAGCACGTTCTCTCATCACCGCTGCTGCTGCGTGAATATGACAAATCACAACACCACGGAGACCCGAGAAAAAACTGGGATTAAAGTCCAAAACCTGACTTGAAATAACCTAACAAATCAATCGGGGCTAAGCGGTTCCATAAAGTGTATTTTTATGATAGCAGTAACTGTAAAGGGACTATTGTAATGGGTAAATCAAATGTAAGCTAGTTCAGTACTACTAAGCTCAAATGAGTTAATGTGTGCTTCTTATAGCAGTTTAGAAGTCATTTTCTTTATTATTTATTTTCTTTTTAATTCAGTGATTTTAACTTTTAATTTAGTTATTTTAATGCTTTAAAGAGCAATTTTTGATTGTAATGTTCTGTTCTGCTATCTGTTCTGCAAAGGTAGACTACAGCTGTCATAAAACCAGAGAGAGCCTTTCTGCTTGGCTACTATAAAAAAAAAAAAAAAGTCAAATAATACCGTTCCTATTGGTCAGTGTTAGAGGAACTCAGCTTAGTCTGATAGTTAACCTGCTTTAGACCAGGTTAGTTTCCCAGCATAAGTTGCCACGGTGACTGAAGTTGATCTATGTTAAATTTGCTTTATGGAACCAAATCATTTGACAATGAGTCAGACTAACTGAAATAAGCCTGGCTTATTTGGTTAACTTGTTTTATGAAACAGGCCTCGAGGCATTAAAAGTGATCATATTTTTTCCATTGCAGCCTATTGCATCGAATTGCATTGTGTTGAATCGAATCAAATCGAAATCGGATCGCACTGCATCGTAATAGGGGTGAATCGTATTGCATCGCATCGGTAGCTGCTTCATATGTATCTTTAATGTATCGTATCGTTGGCTATGCATCGAGATGCACATCCCTAATGTACAATGCTTTGGCAATATGTACTTAAGTATGTCATGCCAATAAAGCAATTATATGAAACGACAGACAGACAGAGTGCAATAGAGAGTCACAGTGAAAAGGAGCGAGATATAATGCACACTTAATGTTAAGTCCAAAAACAGGCCTTGAGGCATTAAAAGTGATGATATTTTCTCCATTGCATCATATTGCATTGAATCGCATTGTGTTGAATCGAATCGAATCGAAATCGGATCGCACTGCACCGTAACGGGCGAATCGTATCGCATCGCATTGCATCGGTAGCTGCTTCATATGTATCTTTAATGTATCGTATCGTTGGCTATGCATCGAGATGCGTATCGTATCGGCCTCAGTCATGAGATGCACATCCCTAGTCTGTTGTGCTCCTGAATCTATTAAGCCCCTCCCTCCCTCGGGCTCAGATTGGTTAGCTGGCCCAGTGTGCTGGGATTCACTCACTGCCTAGTGCACACTGTCCGGAAACGTCATGCCCCCCTTACCATTATGGGTAGCTGCATGTTCCCGGGGGCAGGGCTTATGTAAAAATCAGGGTTAGTGATGTCACAAACCCGGGAAGAAGCTTGTTGTAGTCCCTACCAGTCTTTTTTTTGTAGTCCTTAAACAACGATTTCTTTAAAAGAAAATATTTCACTTTGCCTTGAACTTTGAGCGTCGTAACTTTGCAGACGTTGTTTATGCTCTGACAGCAACATTACACACTAACTAAAGTTAAAAAAGTGAAATCATAATCAACCACCCCTTTAAGTCTCTGGATCGAAACATGGCGAGGAAGAAGCAAAAACAAGCGACTGCATATGTAAGCAGATGCATATCCAAATAACGTGATCATCAAACGTTAAACAGCAAGTGGAAGTGGTATAGGACTGTGCAAGCTTTTGATGTGTTAGAAGCGATCTATTCCATCTATGTTTTGATCATCGTTCTGAATCCGTCAAAAATTCCATTATCTCTGTTTTTTGTTAAGTGTTGCATTTTTCAAGAAACTTACCCGCTTACCCAAGTGCTGATAAAAAAAAGCTAGATTTTTTATTTTTTTTTTTTTAATCAGAGGCTCAATACTTTGTTTTGCATGTTCAGATATTCATACAACAAAATATTCTGGGTGCAACTAAACTTTTGTGAAAATGATCAAAAATGTTGGCGGTGGCTGGCGACTTTTTAAGGAAAAACAGTGGCGAAAAAAGGGTTAACGTAAAAATGGGCGTGGCCATTTTTACATTTAATGTGCGAGACTTCCAGAGTCATTTGCATCCAGGTATTTTTCGATGTAAAAACAGCTTGTTATGCTGCATGATATTGCAAAGTGATTTTTCTTATCAGATTTTTTAAAGGTA